ACCCCTTACTCCCTCGACTCCTGCCCCCCCCTATCCACCAAAAAATTGATTTTGTGATTATAATATGGTTCCAATTTTACACCACACTAACTTTAAAACCACATCATAATAACTTTAATCTCATTTTTTCCATGAAATTTTCATTTCCTAGTATTTAGTAGATGCCCAAAATTTAAAAAATTCGAGCATTTCCGTCGTTAATAATTTCACTCTCTCCGCGCCTCAAATTAAATGTTTAAACATTTGAGATTTTTACTCACATCTTCCTCATTTTCTCCCTCCTTTGATCCGTTTTGTCGTTCATTATTTCAATATTTTCCAATTTACATTATTTTACGCGTGTCCAACTCTATATTACATCTCTCCCAAAATTTGATGTATTTTGTTCAATTATGGATGACGATGTGCACACATACATGAGAGGAAATTAAATTGACGGTTCGACGATATGTTTGTGTACTAATGGATGGAAACTGAGAGGACAACACGTGATGTTGATCAGAATAAATTAATCATTATTTGTACTAAATTTGCAGTCTCAAATCCAATATAAAGTTTCTTTTGGCCAACATCAAATTTGTTGTAGGATACATTTGATGTTCTCTTAACTTTGATACTAAAATTAATTAAAAAGGACAACGCATACCAAGTTCGAAGACGGAATTCTTGGAGAAAGTATACTCATACATTAAATGTTGTCTTAAAGTAGTCTTTTAAAACGTGACAATTCTGATAAAATCGGGCGCCCATCTGCAGAATTAATTCTCATATAAGGTTTTTGAAGTGAACGCGCAACCTACATCAAGGAAAGTACAATTCACTCCAATTTTATTGTACAGAGCATTAAATGCATTTATTTTAGTAGAGCTGATCTCTTTACGGAAATCCTACCCGACCCATGTATGGCTTGTTGTTTGGGTGGGAAATTGGCCAGAATTTCTGAAGATCTTGAGATTCTTTGTAAGTTCAATTTTTTAAATTAATGACAATCAATTTCTTTCCTTCTCAATTCTATTGTTAATTCAATTATGAATTGCGGGTAGTTTTAATTAGGAATTTGGGATTGATGAAGGAGTTAATTATGATCTAGGGTTAATTTCTTGATGAATCAATTGCATGATCTTTATTTAATTTGTGTTTGAATGATTTAATTGATATCTCTTGTAACCCAGAACTACAACTAGGATTATAATTGCATGATCCGATGTGCTCTTTTTTCCTCATTAGTATTTTTTCTCACGGGGTTTTTCCTAATGAGGTTTTTAATGAGGCATCGCCCCATTGTGGATCAAAAGGTGTCGACCCTCGGCCCCCTATTGAAGACGTGTATCGCTCTACTCCTCTTCACCTCACTACATGAACCTAGAGGAGTGGGGGACTAGGGGACTACATTGGCCACCACATACATGAAACATCCAGAAAGCAACAGCAAGCAAGGACTACCAAGTGGTACCTTCGTCGGCCATGTCTTCATCGGCCAGACGAAGGTCTAGGGGACTACATCGGCCTCCAGCGCAAAAGATAAACAAGTTCAAAAATGCAAGGAACACAAGCCTATGACAATGGTACCTCAACGTCCACAGCCATGTGGTCACCCTTCGGCCAAGCCGAAGCGCAAAGCAGGACTCACATCGTCCTCAATGTCAAGGACACTCCTCGTTCTCAAGGCCAATGGCACGCATCATCTCCGGGACAACGACATTCATCGACCATATCACGAACAAAACAAACACGTCACGAACGTCTGCAAGCGTAAGATCCATCAACTAAAGTCAAAGGCACAAGGGCAGGACATTCATCATCCGCAGAGCCAAGGGTGCCCAACGTCCTCTGGTCCAGGACCTTCATCGTCCTCAAAACCATTGACAACAAACTACGAGTGATTTTGCCTCGACCTGGAGCACTAAAAGCAATTGTGATGCATCCTCGGCTGCGTAGGGCTCACACTCATCGCCCTCGAAATGAAGGGCATTCATCGTCCTCAAAATGAAGGACATTCATCGTCCTCAAAATGAAGGACATCCATCGTCCTCAAAATGAAGGACATCCATCGTCCTCAAGATAAAGGACAACCATCGTCCTCAAGATAAAGGACGTTCATCGTCCTCAAAATGAAGGACGTCCATCGTCCTGAGATAAAGGACGTTCATCATCCTCAAAATGAAGGACGTCCATCGTCCTCAAGATGAAGGACATCCATCGTCCTCGAAATGAAGGGCATTTATCGTCCTCAAAATGAAGGACATCCATCGTCCTCAAGATAAAGGGCATTCATCGTCCTCAAAATGAAGGACATCCATCGTCCTCGAGATAAAGGGCATTCATCGTCCTCAAAATGAAGGACATCCATCGTCCTCTTATTGCCAAAGCCTATGCTGAAGATTCCTCACACAAATAATACAGCCCATTTCGCCGTTCACCCGTTCCAATCACCCTCCTCGAGAGACGGTCCTGGATAACACATAAGTTACAAGTAAATTGAACGAAACAGTCAAGTTGATCACTCGGTTGAGAAACCGATATAAGATTGCAGTTCAACTTCAGAACATATAGCACATTATTTAAATAAAAATTAACGGATAATATTATGCGCCCTTCTTGAGCAACCATAATAGTTTGGCCATCAGGCAGACCAACCGAGCAAGGTTCAATAGGTCTAATTTGACTTAAAAAATCAAATTTCCACACACATGATTAGTGGCACCAGTATCAATAATCCAACCATTATTATCAAACTTATCGGTCATGCGAACACTAGTAGAAGATGGATTACCAAAAACTGAAAGTAGAATGTTCTTTTGCTCAAATGTGAAACCTGGCAACATTAATGGTTTCCCACCGCCTCTGTCCTCTTCATTTGATGATTTATTCACATGGTCAATGATTGTAACAGCATGGGACTTTGCCACATGGTCATGTGATGCTCCAGAATTGCTTATTTGTCCACATCCGGCTCCTTTTGTTTCTGCACGAACTGGAAACCACAACACTTCTGGTCGATCATCTTGTGTCTGCACAATACCACAGAAACCTCCTCCTGTACGCATTCTTGCGTACGAACAAATTAAAGAGGCACTGATACCATGTTATTTTAGTGACTTACACGTACAAGAATGCTAATAGGAAGAAGAAGAGTTAAAGCTTAATTCCATGTTTATTCATGAAGCATCCGTAACATACTTATACAATGGGGATGCTGTAATTTGGTCATCCCAAAAAGAAGTAATCTCCTAATAAAAAATAATAACCATAAATAGAAGATTACAACGTACAAAAAATTAAAACTAATCCCTTAATAAAATATTCCAAATATATGTTCCAATAGGTAGTATTTCTTCTAACTCATATTAAAACGAATGGAACTTAAAACTAGAAAAACTGAATAAAACCGAAGCAAATAACGAAATTCAATAAAACCCTCATATTGAAAATATTTATCATTATCACCAAACAAATAAATAATCAATTTCAATAAATTCTTAACCATATTTGAAAAACAATTAAAATAAAAAAATTAGCAGTAGGCAGTAGGCACCATTGGGAAAGTGGTTGCAAAAACGGAAAGGGCAGTCAAGATTTGAAGGACGGCCAAGAAGGTTTGATCTTTTCAAAGATTCTACACATGGGAGCTATTAAGTTGGCGGCATGAATTAGCCGGTCAGGGTACTTGAGGTGGATCAGTAGACAAATGGCTCCTCCCATGGATTCACCGAATAGGAATTGGGGAAAGTTGTGGAACTCGGGGTTCTGGAGGGTGATATAATTGAAAAAAGAGAGACAATTCTCTATAATAAGATCCAGATTGGGTATATAGCCCTTGAGGCCCTGGGACTGGCCGTGGCCTTCCAGATCAAGGGCAAAGCAAGCATACCCATTCTGGGCTATTAATAAGATTGGGGTTACTTGAAATGTCCAGATGATGTCATTCCCGTAGTCATGGATGATACAACGTTGGTTTGCGTTGTATGAGTCTGCGGCGACATATGGTGTGTAGAGATGGAAAGAAAACCTGATGGCAGATGAACCACCTGTAATGCCTATTCAAACACTAGGAGCAGTTCCTGTGAGAACACACTCCCAGGAGAGAAAAAAGATTAACTTTGGACCCTCCAATTTTGCAATCATGCGGCTGGGATTCTAATACTAGGCGACTAAAAAAACCACGTGAGGCGTGCGTGCAGCAAGTTAAACGGTGAAAGCCTGCACCTGAAAGGGCAAAACAGTAAATTGAAGAAGCCGCATTAATTATGACGGTTGGTGCACTATTTTCTATATGGCAAGAATCCCGGTTAATGTGCAAGTATATATTTGAACTAAGAGAACTACCTTGTGAAGAATTCTATTGAACCAAGAAGCATCGACGAATGAAAGAAGCAAGAGAAGAAATCGGAAACCCTGACAAGGCTTCAATTAGCGATGGAAGCGATGAACGAGAACGACGGAGCATCAGGTAGTTTTGAAGAGTGCTACAGGTACCTAAATCTCGAACAACAGTTGAAAGTTATGTGTTTGTGTTAATTTGCTTGGCTTAAAGATTCAGTGCATGTTCAAAGTAAACCATTTTGGTGTACTTTTAGGATTCTTTTCAGAAAAATAAAAAAAAAACTTATGTATTGTTAGTTTTATGTGGTGCATAGTTGGGAATGTGCTACGAATCGAAAGTTTTGAGTCTCTAGATGTATGATAGAGTGCATTAGATGAGTGTAGATATGATTGATACATTTTTTTGGTATGAGAAAAGTGAAACTGTGAAAACATAAAGTGCATTGTCAGATTTCTTGTTTGTGTAATTTTGGTATAGGTTTTGTTTGCAAATTGTGCATGTGTAATGGTAGAATATGCAAAGGTTGAAAAAGTTTGATGAGCGGTTAAATAGTGCAATGTAGAATTTGAAAGAGTGAAATATACATAAAGTGCAATGTCGAATGTGAAAGAATGAAATATACTTAAAGTGCATTATATTAAAATGTTAATTGCGTAATGTGAAAACGTTGAGACTGGTATTTATAAGTGCTGCTAGAAGTTCATAAATTGCTTTTTGTATCTTAAAAGTCAGAATGTGTGAATATTGGTAACCATGTATGAAAGAATGCTTCTTAGTTCATAAAGTGCAATGTGATTATATAAATTTTGGGGGTATAGTAGTATGAATTTAGTATTATTTGTAATGATATGTGAAATAGAACTGGTGTAAAGAGTAATTCTTGGTTAATACATTTCATTATGGAATGATTGCATGGTATAGCATTAAATGTGCATTTAAATTATTATTGTAGGAAGTCGGGAAACTAGATTGCAGGCTACTAGGAAAGAAAAGGGAAAGAGAGTAATGGACGCAACTGGGAATGAATCCGAAGACAATAGAGTGAAGAGACAAAAGAAACAAAAAGAAGAAGATAGTGATGATGATTTTGAAATACAACCAAATCTTGGTGGTGTTGTTACAGAGGTGATGTCAAAGAAAAAAAGTATAAAACAAATCAAATCTGGCTATAGGAGTATACGAACCAGATCATCACCACATGTATTGGTTAAAGCTCTGAGTGCAATGAATGAAGCTCAGAAAGCAGATGTAAAGAAAATAGGATTTGGTGCACTATTTGATCTGGTTGTTGCTGAAATTCCTGGGAAGCTAGGATTTTGGGTTACAGACTGCTTTGACCCCAAAAAATGCTCATTAGTGCTACCCAATGGTACTTATGTGCACATAACAGAGGAGGATGTTGCAAGAGTGTTGGGGTTTCCTTTGGGGGGAAAACCAATTGTCCAAAAGAAGAAAAATGAAGACTGTGCTTTGTTGATCGAATGGAGAGCAATATTTGACAGATAGGACTCAAAGATTAGCCCATCAGATATTAGTGCAGCCATGCTTAGCAAAACACATGGAGGTGACTGGTTCAAGAGGCATTTCATTGTTCTAGTTGTATCTTTGCTACTAGATAGTTCCCAGAATGGGTACGTGAACCCACTTATAATGAATCAATTGGAAGACGTTGACTAGATACGTGAACTAAATTGGTGTGATCATGTTATTAATTGTTTAATTGAGAGCAAAGTTTCATGGGAGAAGAAGAAAGCAAAGGTTTTTACTGGTCCATTGCTGTTTCTAATAGTAGGTTAAAAAATTTAAATAGTTACTTACAATTATAACTTTAATTTGCTATTAATTGCTACATAATAATAACATACATTTATTGTGAATTTGTTTTATGTGGACCATGTTGTTTTATATAAACGCAAGGTTGGAAGGACTTCCCCAGTTCTGAAATGGTGGAACGGAAAGCTACTGAGAGATAGAGAGTTATTGGAAATTGAGAGTGGCGGATTTGGAATGGGGTACTGTCATGGGCCAATGACAATTGAAGAATGTTTGAAGAGCAATGATTTGAACTCTGGAAAAAGAGAAAGATGGGGAAGGTGGTAGTGGACTGGCTGAGGTATGACTTAAATATAATTCATGTTAATTTCAGAGATTAATCTTTGGTTTAAAAATGCATGTTTCAGAATCTTAATATGTAGCATATGTTTATCAATGAGTGTGCACATGACAGATATCACATATGAAACATATTTACAGGAATTTGTCATCAAATTCGCGGAGAAAACCAAGCTATTGGCATCAACTGTGGTTGATGTGATCAACATGTGCGAACAAGCTCTGAGAAGCTCAATTGAATCAGAAAAATACAAAAAAATGCAAGAAGCTACAGAACAACTGATTGGTCTAGCAAAGAAGTAATCAGTGGAGGAAGGTGGAGAAGTAACGGATTTTAGAAGTAATGCGGAGATAGAAGATGCTGCTTTTTGGGCAGAAACAAATAGTGCGGTTGAAAGAGTTGAAAGAGCAAATCTGAAGAAGACTATGTACGCAAAAGGAATGGAAGAGCTTCATTCTTTCTCAATTGGACTCACACAAGAAAAACCAAGCCAATGGACAAGCATAACGGAACTGTGTGCCGAGATTGATAGAGAAATAAATGATCATATGGTATACATCCAAAAAATTAACTCATTATATACTTACTGTGTCATAAAAACAATGTACTAATTTTAACTTCTTTGTGAAGGTTGAAGGAGAGGGTAATATGAGAAGTGAAATAAATACTGTTACTGAAGCAGTGGTTGATGTAAGTGAACTTTAGAAATATTAAGAAAATACATTGTGCATGGTGTATCCTAATTTGAGCATCTGTTAAACTTTTTATAGAAGGCGCATGGAGAGGAGGGTCTGACAAGTGAGACGGTGAAGGGCAAAGAAGTAGTTGTTGAGGTAAGTTACAACAGTCCAAATGTGCACCTGTTGATGCATGATTGTGGATAGTATATGTTACTTTGATCACATATTAATTTTTATTATCCTAATTAGAGCATATATGAAAATGATTGTTTAAAACTAATATCTATTATTTAGAAGGAGAATGGAGAGGAGGGTTTCAGCATTGACATGATGAAGGGAAATGAAGCACTTGTTGAGGTAAGTAAAGTCCTAAAGCATTCATAATATTAGTAATGTGCAGATGTTGAGTGGTGGTTGTGGTGGGCATGTGTGATTTTTATCATGTATAAAATTTTTGGTTTGAAAATAAAAGAAATATAATTTTTAAAAATTTATTAAAGGTTAAAGTAGAGAAAGATATGAGGACTAATACAAAGAAGGGAAAGGAGATAGTTGTTGAGGTTAGTGGAGTGTAGAAATAGTAATAGAATGCATCTTTAATAAATGTGATGATGATTAATTGATAATGTGCATTGTGTATGTTAAAAATTGTACATATTAGGCTGAAACAATATTGTGCATGTTGTATATTAATGTTAGCAAATAAACAAGTTAGTTTATAATATATTTTTTATAGAAGGATAATGGAGAGCACGTTATGACCAGTGAAATAATGAAGGGCAAAGAAACAATGGTTGAGGTAAGTAAAGTATAAAAGTATAAAAACATTTCCTAATGTGCATTTGTTAAGACATGAATTTGGTTTGTAGATGTTACCTGTATCAAATATAAAATATTTGGTTTGAAAATAAAAATAGTATAATTTTTTCAAATTTTTGTGAAGGTTGTAGTGGAGAAAGATATTAGGAGCAAGACATCGAAGGGAAAGGAGAAAGTTGTTGAGGTAAGTCAATTGTAGAAACAGTGTACTTTTGAATCTTTAAAAAAAGTGTTGATGAATAATTTATAACGTGCATTGTGAAGCTTAATTTCAGCATATGTAATAGGTACTACATGAACATAAGTTAGTATAATAAATATTACACAAATGTGCATGGTCCTTTACTAATTAGTGCAGTCCATACATAGTTTTTTTATTTTATATTATTGCTATTAAAAATAGGTGATGTGCATTTTAAATAATTGAGTTCGTTAGTTATCCTGGTGAATTTGAATTGGTTTTAACTAGAACCTGTAGGAGGACAAAATGAAGGGAGCAAATACTAAATTGGTTATAGGTAGAAGTACCTATTTGAGACAAAAAAGAACAGGAAAGGCTGTGGAAGTGTGTAAATCTCCATATATGGCCAGGGTGGTAGACCCTAATGACATATCAAGTGCACAAGAAAAACTGATATGGAGATGGGTGATGCAAAATGCAGCTGATAAGAGGTTAAAAAGGAAAAAAAATCTCTTCCACACTTATTACTGCTAAAAATATTGTTATAAAATAACATATTAAATTGTATTGTTTGAATATAGGGATGATATTATATTCAAGTACAGGCAAATTATGCGCAAGAGAGGAGAATTTTTTTCACTTGCGGGAAAAAAGGAATTGTGCATGAATGTGTTAGACGCATGGACCGTATACTTGAATACTAAGGAAAAAGTACGCAGTAGCACATCACCATGTAGACTGTTTGCAAAATCCATTCCTTGTGTAAGATTCATAATGAACAAAGCAGAATTTATTTCGTAATTAATTTGATTATTTTGTTAGTGCAGTGCACATTAATGTTACAGTTGTGCAATGTGAAACAGCTTTACACCATGGAGCACGCACTACCTGAAAATGAAGCTTATGAAGTGTTTAAAGAAGCAATGTTGTTGGCTTTAGAAAATGTCAAACCGGAAATAAAAATGGAAGATGTGGATTTGGTAAAATTTTAATATATTTATATTTTTTATTTTGTGGATAAATTGTGAAAACTTTTTTGTATATTAAATATGCTTTTTTGCAGTTCTTCTTTCCAATATGCAACCCAAACACTGTTATGTTGTGTGCTTGAACATGAAGCAACAACACATTGAAGTGTTAGACAACACGTACAATAGATAACCTTGAATTTGATGAGAAGTATGGTGAGATGCCATATAGTCTGGTGAGTTTGTAGTTGATACGCAGTAAAATCATAATACGTATCAATCATTTGATTCAGTAATATTAATTGTCTAGCAAATTTTGAAAACAGAGAGATATGTTTGTGGATTACTTAACAAAAGTGGGTCTTGATAATGACTCCAACACATTCTACACACTGAATTTGAAGAGGTTGGCAATGAGTTGGAGATAATCCAGGAATGAGCATGACTACGGATTGTGGAGCATGCGGCACATGGAAACATACATGGGGCAAGGCTCCAAAGGATGGGATGTTGGAGTGAAGAAAGGGGATGCGAGGGGACTCATGCAATTGCGAGTCAAGTATTGTGCTGCACTAATCTCATCGGACATAAATGAGTTGAAGAAAAAGAACTTAGACGAGGTTAAGGAATTTGGGAAGGGAAAAACAATTAAGAAGTAGATTTTAAGGTTGAATTAAACATTACTTGCTTAAATTGATTGCACTTTTAATTATTTTACGGGCATTTGTTGTTTTTCAAAGGCATGATGCCTTACTGTTTTGGATATGTTGGTTACAACTTAAATTTTTGGGATTTAATTTATTAAATGGTGTTTGACATTTGTGTTAAACTGGATTCACAATTATATGTGGTCTCATGAAAGTGCATTTGTAACGCTTAATTTTGTATGAGTGTGATTGAGGTATGAAACGATGTGATCGAATTCTGCAAAATGTATTTTAAAAAGTGCATATGCATACATATGTGCAGAATTGTTTTTTAAAAAGTGATGTTGTTATACCAATGAACTAAATAATTAAAAATTAATACATTCACATAAATAAAATTGATAAATATTCATAAGAATTTAATTTAAAATTTATAAAAGTGCATACAAAAGAACAATAATTGCTCAGTGCTGAAAGGATAAGTAATGAGAAAGAAAAAAAGATTACACGATTGAGTAATTTATATAATGCACACTAGATTCTAATAAAACGCACAATATTGTTATACCAATGCAATAACTGCTTTTTAATTCGTACTACAATAAAATTACAATGAATAATTAGTCATACAAATTTAATTTAAAATTCATATAAATCCATACAAAAGAAATATCATTGATCCTTGTATAAAGGATAAAAAAGCAAAATAAAGAAAAAATTAGTCAATCCTACAAGTTCAAAGGACAATTCTTACTGTCATGATACCCTTTTTTATTACATTTTCTACATAACCTCTTAGTCTTATTGCGCACTTCAATTGACTTCTCCTTGCCACCTTTAATTCTCTTACCACAACCCTTATTTCGAGCCTGCTGAGGTGGATGGATGCTAACTTCTGTATGAATAGATGACCCATAATAACTTTTGATAACATCACTTTTTGTAGATGCTCCTGCACTACTTCCTTGATAGCTAGTGAATATTTTTTTGCTCCTTAATGGCATCTGAAAATTGCTGAAACAAGTCAGGATGATGGTCAATCATTCCAACACAAAAATGAATGTCAAACCACAATGTCTTCATTGCTAGTGTTTTTTCTTCTGTGCCAACACACTGTTCAAAGACACCATCTTCAAATGCATTAAGAGGCTTTAGAATGGAATCTTTGCACCATCGCCTTAAGACATATCTATCTGGAATTGCATTGACCTTCTTCTCTTTGAACACAAAGAAAATGTGACGACACAAAATCCCAATCCTTTCAAAATGTTTGCAAGAGCAAACCGTAGTACCGTCATTGGTATTGTGCACAACTGTGAAATTAAAACCTCGTTCATCTGATATGACATACGTAAAAACACAACCTTCATGTTGCAGACTAACAACAGCACAAGAAAAACAAGCACAACAGATTTCGTTCTGAACAAGATAAAAAATTGAAAGATTGTAAACATAGGATGCATATCTTTCAATATTTAATGGAGTCTTGTACTCAGGAATGCAAGACTCCGAAAGTTTGATCAATTGTGCCCTATTATGCCTTTGAGAATCCATTGCACTCTCAAACTGCATATAAAACTCAACTAAGCTGAAGTTGGGATTCATGAACTCATTGAAGAAATCATTTTCACTTTCTGAACGTGAAGTAGTCCTAATCAAACCCGCCATGAAAAGGTCACCAAAATAAGCAGGAATCCAAAACCGCCTAAACTCAAACATGTGTGAAAACCAATTGTGATCAAGTAAGTCATACTCATTCATCAAATTGTTCCATCTCATCTCAAATTCAGCTGATTGAAAATAATGACTCCACACAATACAATTCAATTCCTTCAAAAAACTGCATCTTTACTCAAAACTGGTCCAACTTTCTAACTCACCTTCTCCATAATATGCCACATGCAAAATCTGTTACAAGATGTTGTGAAGACCTGTGGAATAGCAATTTTCATAGAAGGGTCTTGATCTGTTATGATGCACGTTGGCTCCCTACCCATTGCATTCAAAAAAGAACGAAACAACCACACATATGATTCAACATCTTCTTTCAACAATAAACCAACACCAAAAGTAATGCACTTTTTGTGACTATCAACGCCAGTGAAAGGGGACAAAACCATGTTATACCTGCATTTGGTGAAGTCAAAACAAAATGTGCATGGAATATCAGGAACAAGTGCATGAGCAAAAATTGGCAATGCATAACATACAAAAAAAATCTAAACTGCATTCAAAAATTGTAGTCACAAAATAGAATACTTCATTTGTGTGGTGCATTAACATGTAGTTAAACAGTAGTTAAAATGAATACTTCCATTAAAATGAAACTAAAATTAAGTTAAAATTAAGTTATAAAAATTGAAGTTAAAATATATAATACTTGATTATAGATGCAATACCTGTTAGTCTCATAGGTAGCATCAAAAGAAACAACATCCTCGAATAATGCATAGTTCTTGATGCACAGTAGATCCGCCCAAAATACACGTGTCAACTGGTCACTCTCATCAACATCATACTCAAATGAAAAGCCTGAACAAATCTCTTTTTTTTTCTAAAAAGCTTATCTATCAATATCTGCGCATCAACTCCAACTAGATAAGCCTTCAAATCACGTTTAAAATTCTTAAAATCCACTGATGTAGCACCAATATTGGCATAGCCACCCACAGTTTATTTATACAATCGATAAGATTTCATTGTGCCAATATTTGTTTTAGCACAATTCAAAAAAAACTTTTGGTGGCCAATATCAAGTTTTCTATTCACTTTTAAAAATGGCATCGATGAATCATAAAACTTAAGGTGGTTATGCATCTCCTCAAAAAAGGTAATTTTGTATTGATTCATGCCTGCAAGCTTATAAACTGCACGTGCTTTGCAATTACACCTATTAGAAACCCTACGTCTTTTTTCTCATCATTATTAACACATACGCCCGGACCAGGTAAATCTTCAATGTGAGTTTGGTCTTCATTTTCAGATCCATCAGAATCACATGAATCATTTTCAGTGCTGAACTGATGATCTAAATCAACATTCTTGCGGGACTCACCGGTAGATGTAACCATCTTAGCTTTAGATACATTTTTGAAGCCCAGTCTATTACACAACATATGTTTCCAAACAATTATGTCGTCACGAGCCCTATGTTGACTACTTTTGCGTGATTCAAAACCACAAAATGATGCATATTTTTCATAAAACGCATACCATCCTCTAAATTATTGAACAACATACCAACACGCGGTTTAAAAGCAGGGTCACAATCAGGTGTCCAATACACAGTGGATCCCGGAGAAACTTGCATTGTATTAGCATCAAACAATTCAGAAATTGATGTAGATGCACTGAAGGGAACGCCATTTGAACCTAATGGAACCATTCAAACAAAGTATTCACAAGCACATGCTTTAGCACACATATTTAAGTAAAAGTGCAAAAACAGAATGCATATAAGTGCAGACTAATAATACTTAAAGTGCATAGGGAAAATATTCATAACTTAACAAACGCATTCTATTAACAGACATATCATGAAAACGTCAATATCCAAACCCCTATCCAACGTAACACAAATCAGAGTGCATTAGAAAATAGACTCAAATTAAGCACGAACATAACACAAAATTTCAATAATGTTAGGCCGTATGCATGAATCATATATCCAATATTGTAAAATTGCAAAAATTTAAACAATATAAAAACAAATATCATTGGATTGAAACTTACTGAACTCCATGGAATCGTGATGTTGGAGCAGAAAACTCAAAATGGAAGGAGCAGCAGACCGAATACAATTTCAAACTCCAATAGGAGAAGTGGCGTCGGAGAGAAAAACGACGAAGGAGAATTAACAGAGCAATGACATATGATCAATCCTTTCTAGAAAAACGACGAAGGAGGATTAACAGAGCAATCAAATACGATCAATACTTTTGCTTTGGTGACTAAATCAGATCAATTCATTCGCACAAGGAAAGAAGAAAAACGAAGGCGGAAAACATCTTTGGAAAGATTTGTGGAGAAACAGTTATGGAAGGATTCATGCAGCGTACGATAAGGAAGTTAACGCACGAATTGGACACACGTACAATTGAAATTGACTTCGATACCCTTTGGAAAGCCTTAGCCGCACGAATGATTAAAACCAAATCCAATGGTTGATATCTATTCTTTTTTACTCTCCTAAGATCAAATTCTCACATGATCCTAATTCTATATATATATATATATATATATATATATAGGTTTTGGTTCAAATAAGAACATGATCTTAGGAGAGAAATGAGAATGAATCTGGACCGTTAGATTTGCTTTAAGTGAAATTCAATGTGCATTAGATGAAACTGTAACGTGCATTAGGTGAAATTGAAATGTGCAGCACAAATGGTATGATTCAGCGGCATTATGTGAAGTGAAATTGTGTATTAGGTGAAATTGAAATGTGCACTAGGTGAAACTGAAATGTGCAGAATAAAATGTACGACGTGATGTTATTTTTGTACCTCTTATTCTGCACATTTTCATTTCATCTAATGCACACTTGAGCTTAAATTTTTATTGTGCACATTTCAATATCATCTAATGCACATTTCAGTTTCACCAAATGCACAAATAAATTCCACATAGTACAATCCAACGGTCTAGATTTGTTCTCACTTCTCTCCTGAGAGTCCGTTCTTACCGGAACCTCCGTTATATATGGTGTGAATTAGGTTCAAGTGAGAAAATGATCTTAGGAGAGAAATGAGAATGAATCTGGACCGTTAGATTGTATTCTGTGAAATTGAATGTGCATTAAGTGAAACTGAAATGGAGATATGGCTCACGTTAAACAAGGAAAAATAATGGAATGTAATTATTCCATTCCTAAAATAACTCCACGTTAATCAATCATGGTAGTTACCAAAAATACTACCCAAGAGTATAATACAAAATTGCCCTTATTATTTTAATCAATTCTCATTTGAACCAAAATCTCTCTCTCTCTCTCTCTCTCTCTCTCTCTCTATATATATATATATATATATATATATATATATGATGGATAGTCTACCCGGGGGTATATATCCGAGGGGTTATTGCAGAGAATAACTTAGAGAGAAGTCAGAGCAAGTAAATGTAGAGAGAGTGTATTATAAATGTGGAGCGTTTTCAGCGTGGTTAC